TCTAGGTGTTGCTTAATGGCAGCGCAGCCTTCTGGTGTTATCGGCCATTCCTCCCAGTTTTGTATCATCGGCGAACGTGCTGAGGGTACGCTCAGTCCCTTCATCCAGGTCACTGATGAACAGGTTAAACAAGACTGGACCCGGAACCGACCCCTGGGGAAGTTGATGGACAGGAGATGGAAGTGGACAGCAGATACAGTAAGACACATTATTGTCATTTTCCACATGTCCACCTTGGGATTTGGTGCCAAGACATGCTCTCCCCCAGAGGCAAAGGACAAGCATTGGTAGTCAGCCATTTAAAGATCAATCACACTTAAAACAGAAGATGGCTACGAGGGAGACTAATGTTCAGAGACTGAAGTACTAATGAAGGCTTAAAAAGAATGTACATAAACTGTCTTTTGTTGTTGATACACTAACTTTCAGACACACTTACACTACTTAAAGTGATTTACAGATGATTCTTGATGACTAAAGCAAATAAAGAAAGGCAAGAACATCCAAGCCCCCAGGCTAGACATAAATAAAGTTTACTGAATACATGAAGCCAGGCTTTGGGGTTTTTCGCAGCTACTGCACTTTTACTGAAGATTAAAACCAGAAAAAACCCTACGTATTTAGAGAATCTTTCTTACAAGTGAAAGCTATTGCTGAAGATTAGTCTAGAAAACAGTCTAGGCAACGACACGCAAAGCAGGTTATCAGGAGTCCTTCTGCTATTGCTGAGCTCTGTTGAAGAGACTACAGCCTTCTACTAACCTGCTAATAACCATTTTCTGTAATACTTTTTCTATTTCTCAGTGTTAGATGGCAATTGAAGCGACTTCATTTCCCAGAGCTGAGGTTTAGAGAACTGGTCTTTCATCCCAACCAACTGAAACAACTTAGTAATCATCTTTGTCATCCCATCCACAAAACTCATCAAATGCCTTTGGTATTAATACAGAAATATGGATTACCCACATTTAGTTTAACAATGCTACACAGCTCTGCTTCAATCAAATCATGTACAAAAAAAAAAGGGAATCACAGGAGTT